TTCAGTTACTGCATTAAAGGTATTCAGTAACAATTTTTAATGTATTATTTAAATAGCCGCGTTTCACTTAATTCCCTGCTTTGGGGATTTTCGTTCTGCCAGATAAAGAGCTGCAGGGAGCTGGGGGTTGAGCGTAGATTCAGTTCTGATATTGCATGAATGATAATAATAATAATATCAATAATCCTTGAATTTGACATAGCACCTTATCACGTCTTCAAGATTTCTCAAAGTGCTTCCCATATATACTGTAAAGTGAATTGACCGCATATTTTGTGGGTGAAGTGTTATAACTATAACAAATACATTTCTATTTTCAAGCCACGCAAGATAACATTGCATATATATATATTTATATTATAAATATCTTCCCATTTTATCATATTGCATTGAGAGTGCAGTTTTTAGATCTTGTTACATGTCTGGCCAGGAGTCTGCTCCTGTGAATTGAATTGAATGCTTTTGCTATGAATGATTCGGATGTGGGAAAATATCATCTGTAAATAATAATCATTATATTTCATAGAATCCCTTTCATGTCGGGAAGACATCTCAAAGTGTTTTACAAGATTTACTGTAAAATGCAGTGATTATTTTGTGGGTGAATGTGGCAATCCATTTGTGCACAGCAATGTCCCACAAACAACCCTGAAATGAATGACTCATTTTATCTGGGGGATTGTTGGTCACGACACCTGGTGCATAGTGGTTTGGGATCTTTAATGTCCACTTGAACATAATAATAATCCTTGAATTTGGTATAGCACCTTTCATGTTAGGAGGATGTCCCAAAGCGCTTCACGGCCTATATGGTAATGCAGTGTGTTTTGTGCCATAAGCTGTTATGGAGCGAATGACTACAACAACAACAAATTAAATTTGTATGGCATCTTTCTTGACTAATCTTATTTAGGGGATTGTTGGCCAGGTCACCAGGAGAAACTCCTTTCACTTTTTGAATAGTGCCATAGGATCTTAACATCCACCAAATTACAGCATCTGCAGCAATGGAGGACACCCCCAGTACTGCATTGGAATGTCATCTTAAACTTTATGAGTTCCAAATTTTGGGGCTTGAAGCCTCAGCTTGGGTGCAAACTCTCAACTGTGCAGTGCCTTGGGATGTCCTCCTGACATGAAAAGCGTTATATAAATGCAGTTTGTTTTTACTGTTGAACCCACAACCTTCTGCATGGGAAAGATCACACCTTCAAAACTGAATTGAAGACGTCAGCCTATTCTATGAGTTCAAAGTACCGATGTGGGATTTGAACTCACAACCTCCTGACTCGGAGGCAAGATGCTTCCAACTGAGCTAAACTGACACCTCACAGCTGAAGTGCACAGCGACTTGTGCAAACCCTGCATCAAACTTTGATCTGCACAATGCAGATGACATTTTACATTTGTCTATAAACCAATTGTATCACATAATTTTGCGTGGCCCAGGTCTTTCGGCACTGCTTGGAATGCAAGCTGACATCTCTACACCGTATTGTACCAGTTTAGTGATACATAACAGTTGGGATCCTTAAAAACGAGACACGATAATAACAGGGTGCGTTATAGTATGGCTCACATCCAGTGGTGCTGAGGTTATCAGAAGCTGGAAGTCAGTACACAGCAGGTCCAGTGTGAAATCATGCTATATCTGTTATAATGTTATATGTTGAGATGCATTATAATGGGACTGGGACTGCAGTAGATGTCGATGTAGAGTATATTTACTCTGATGTATTAGCGCTGAGATCTAGGCAACATCTCATGTCTGCTGCTTCTGACTGGGCTCTGATTTAGCCACGTGACATGGGAGATTGGCCCTATTTAGATGAATGTTGCAAAGCCACCTAATCTGTCGCTCCATGTCGACTAAATCCTCTTAGCACATCATATCACCAAAATCCTAATTACATGTCACATTGGGTGTTGTGTTTTTTCATGCAAATTGCTTATTTGCCTATTAAATTGGGTTGAGCTGACACGGTGGGTAACGCTGAAATATGAGGTAGAGCATTGAAGCGATACATAGATCTTAGTATCGACAGACATGATGTGAATCATTAGTTGAGTTCATGAACTTGAGTGATTTCATTTCAGACTTGGTTTCTGTGACCAGCCCTTTGTGTAAATTTCTGTGCTCTAAATTTCTATGGTTCTATGTCGCTCACTTTATTTTAACAACAACAACAACAGCTTGGATTTATATAGTGCCCTCCACGCCGGACGGCGTCTCAGAGCGCTTCACAGTAACGGATCCCGGGACCGAGCCAGGGGGAGGGGGAGGAAGGTGGCCAAAGGCGTGGTCGAAAAGAAAGGTTTTCAGCAGAGACCCGAAAATAGGAAGAGAGGGGGCGAGGCAAAGGGAGTGAGGAAGGGAGTTCCAGAGCCTCGGGGTGTAGTGGCTGAAGGCATGGCCACCGAGGGTGGAACGGAGGATTCGGGGGACAAGGAGGCGGCCAGACCCGGTGGAACAAAAGCAATGGGCACTGTTTTAAGGAGCGAGGAGGTCAGAGAGGTAGGGGGGTGCAGAGGAGTAGAGGGATTTGAAGACAAGAGTGCGGATCTTGAAATCGATTCTCTCTGGGACAGGTAGCCAGTGCAGTCGGGCAAGGACTTGGGTAATCGGGGAGTGGAGTTTGGTGCGGGTGAGAATGCAGGCGGCAGAGTTTTGAATAATCTGGATTTTATGAATGGTAGTGGAGGGGAGGCTAGTGAGGAGGGCGTTTGAATAGTTCAGCCGAGAGGTGACAAAGGCATGGAGCAGGGTTTCAGCAGCTTTTGGAGAGAGGTATTGGCGGAGACGGGCGATGCGTCGGAGGTGGAAGAAAGATGTGCTGGTGAGGGACCGCGTGTGGGGGAGGAAGGATAATTGGGGGTCAAACCTGATGCCAAGGTTGCGTACGGGTTTGGAGAGTTTTAGGGGGAGGTCGGGTAGGTGGAGGAGGTGAGAACCATGCAATTTTAGACGTTGATGAGAGCATAAGAGTATGGTTTTCGTCTTGACAACGTTCAGCTGAAGGAAATGTGTGCTTATACAGCCTCTGAGATCTGACAGGCAGGCTGACAGAACATCAGGGAACTGGGTTCGCAAAGAGAGGTGGAAAAATAGAGTTGGGTGTCGTCCGCATACATGTGGAAATGTACCCCATGTCTGTAGATGACATCCCCAAGAGGGAGCATATAGATCAGAAAGAGGAGGGGGCCAAAAATGGATCCTTGGGGTACCCCGCAAGTAACCGGGTGAGAGCGGGAGGAGAAGCCGTTTGTGCAGACGTACTGCTGGCGGTTTGTGAGGTAGGACTCCAGGATTGAGTGAGCAATAAACCCACGTCATTCACACCATCATTACTATGCTAATTTGTCAATTCAATTGGTAAGAAACACGATAACTGGAGTGTGCCCTTGTAGGTCAAAGTAGTTCTCCAAAATTTCTGTGTAACCATGATTATCATCATTCTGCTAACAAACAATACAAGGTTGTGGAAGATTTGAAGGCTTTGATCTTAACATCTCAGAATAAACCAGAGCTTTGAGATCGTGCCAGGAATACATGACAGCCTAGATAACTACTGTCTCTGAGGATACCAAATGTTGCTTGGGTGGTCATTTTGATTCCATTTGATTAGGATAGTGGTGCAGGATAATTCGGATACTGAGACACAGCTATCAGGTTCTTGTGTTTTCTTCTATACTCCAGGGTACATGCAGTAAACATACCCAACACGAATTAGTAAATAAATGTTTTTGAAATTGCTGCTCAAAACCAGAACTCTTAAGCATTAACTGGAAAAGAACAGGTGTCTGTTTAGCCTAGAAACTGGATGTTTCTCTGTGTGCACCTCTTCACCGTTCATCACTTTCCAATTTCTCCTATTTCTTTCACATGCCTACACCCATACTTTTCCATATCTCTTACATAATACTCTCTGTTATACCCTCAATCTCTCCATTTCTACAGACCAACCTCTCGTCTGCTCTATCCCTAACGTATATAATAATAATCCTTATATTTTGATATATTGTGGAGTACTGAAGCTCAGTGGTTAGAGCACTTGCCTCACAAACGAGAGACCTGGGTTTGATTCCCAGCAGGCTGAAACGTTGGACAAGTTTCCTTACTCCACACACCTCTGTTTACCTAGCAGTAAGTAGGAACCCAGTTGTTAGTCGATTGGTAGATTGCTTTTCCATTTTTTTAAAATTGGTTACTCAATCCATGACTGTTTGTGGGACACTGCTGTGTATAATTGGTTGCCGTGTTTTGTCCACAAAATACAGTCGTTTCACTTTGCAGTATATTCTATGAAGCGCTTTGAGACTTCTCGAAGACATGATAAGGCGTTCCAAATGCAAGGATTATTATTATTATATAGTACCTTGTAACATCAAAACATCTCAAAGCACTTCACAGGAATTTAATGTGAAGTTTAGTAACTGTGTATTTGTAGGCAAAAATGGCATCCAAATTGCACATAGTAGTGTCCCACAAACACAAGCACCTCTGACAATGTTGCGATCCCCCATCCCTGCATTTAGCTATGTCATCTTAGACTATGAGCTGAAATCCCAAATGGGGCTTGAGCCTACAATTCTTACTGAGAGCTGAGAGTGTTACAAACTACGCTAGGCTGACATGTAATTTCATTCCAAATCTTGCAGCGTTTCTCTCTATTAATGTTGGAAAAATAAACTGACAATGTTAAAGATTATGGAAAATAACCTTTTGGGATGTGAGTAACACAAATATCAACAACAAATATGTGATCTTATATCTGCTTATTACTGTTTCTAGAAGTTATTCATATTATTCGTGAATATTATTCATGTTCCTACTTTCCACAACAACAAAATTACAACTCAAATATCAAATGCAAGCATTTTTATTACTGCAACCTGCCTTACTTTTTTTTAAATCTCTTTGACCTGATAAGAGTGATAGATTTTGCAAATAATCTGGTGCCAGTATTTGTGGTGTTGATAATTTGTTTCTTTTCTTTAAGTTGCGTTTTGGGGCGATATTGCCTTAGATGAAGAAGACTTGGAACTCTTTCAGATTGACAGGACAATTGATTTATCAAGACACACTTTGGACAGAATTGGACACACAACAGGTACGTCTCCGTACATCTGCTCAATGCAATTTCCAAATGAAAACGTGGGACATCCGAGATCAATGTTACTCTGTTGTGGTTCACTTAAAAGCTATCACCTTGTCAGGATGTAGTGATTTTTAGGTCTGGACTTTCAGAAAGATGTCTATGGAAGGTCACTTAGGGAGAAAAATTCCACCTGGGTCTAGATTTATTCTATTTTTCTTACAATTTCACAACATCCAGAATTTGGACAATTCTTAAATATTGCTTTGATTTTGATGCTGTTGTTTTCAATTAAGTTATTTTAAGTAGCAAACTTATGAACTGGCAGTGCTGCGGTGTAGTGACTGACAGTGGAAGCAGAAAATGTTGCTTGTTCCATGAACCATTTAGATAGATTTCTGCTAGAAAATAATATCTTAGGATTCAGTATACAGTTTGGGCCATGACATGTCAAGTCAAGCGACTGCCAGGATGGTGGAAGGAGACCTGGATAGACCTTGGTCTTCTTTCGCCAAGTAAAATCTTATGTTCTTATGTTTTTAAGAACTAACAAAAAAGGCTTAAAAGTTAAGAAAAGAAAATACCTAGATCCAGGTGAAATTTTTCCCCTTTTGTGCTTCTAGTGATAGAAACTCTGCACCAAAAATCCAGAATGGTTTGAGACTCCTGGAAAATATGATTAGTTTGACGGTGTTTGATTTTGCAGACGTATTTTTCCAAATTTAAAAAACTACTTATGTGTGAGTAAGACGGTTAACAAGTAACTGTGATGTATCCTCCATTTCAGAACATCAGCTGAGTCAAATACTTAATTGCTTCTTGGTGGAACATATGAAAATGTAATACAAATGCATCATTAGATTGTTGAAAAGTTGGAGACTGGTCTTGTCACAACAGAGTTCAAGTGCATCATTGCGTGGTATTGCTCCAGTAGTGAAGTGTACAGTCTCTGACAATACTGAATCACTGTGGAAACTGCAACCACAAGTATGAGCATCCATATATTGTGTCACAGTTCATTGAATGAATGAGCACAGATTAGTTGTTCCATTCCATTCAGATAGCTGTATCTACAGGAGAGGAGATCCTTTGGATTAAGTGGGACTGGCACTATTGCAGTGAAGCAAACAGTGGATAATTGTACATCACCTAAAATACAAATTAGCTTCCGTGTGAACTAAAATATTGTTCCATCAAGAGTTATACTGTTACTATAGTAACATACTATGCCAGTGGAGTTCAAATGCATCATTTGGTAGTTTTGCTCCGATAGGGAAGTATCCAGTCTCTGCTTTAGACCTTCTCCTAACAACACTGTAGCACTGTGAGTTATGCTGTTACTATAATAACACACTATTCCTCCCTCTCTCTGTCTCTCTTTGCTTTTCTCTCTTGCTACCTTTCTCTCTCAGACTCTGCATCTCATCTGTCTTTGCCTTTCTTTCCCTCTTTTTTCACTCTCTAAGTATCTCTAACTTTCTGTCTTCTTGTGACTTTCTCTATGTATCAGTAAGTGTGTAGATTTGTATTAGAAAATCAGCAGTAAAAAATCTGGTTGTACATATGAGTGAATGTGAACACACGATTCACAACAGAATATGGATAACCAAAGGATGATGGTGGGAAAATAGATTTTGTGATTGAATATGAACTACTTCAGTTTGAACAACAAGATTACATTTGTATAGTGGCTTTCACGTCGGGAGGACTTCCCAACAATGTCAAAGTCTTATTTATACTTTCTTATCTCTAGTGCCAAGACCAATACATCCACAAATAAGCATTATCTGAAAGACTATATTATATGAATATATATATATGTATATACATACACATATGCAGGAGCACTTGTCATACAAATAGGAGGCTGCATCAGTCTGAGTCTGCTTGAAACAAAACTTAAATGGTTATACACATATATATATTGCTACAAATATAATTGCTGGTTTTGGTGAGGGCACTGTGGAGGACATGGTATTTTTAGACTAGTAAAGGGAAATAATCCTGGCAATTGTTTAAGCGAACCCATGCTCTGTTACCGTGTGAGGACAGGTTGGGCCCTGGCTTTATTGGCTCTCAATGGTTGCTAGCCCTGCAGGGATCAAAGAAGAAAAACATGGAAAATTCAGGAAGCTTAAACACACACAGATGGTGTGTGAAATCCCTGGCAATTTCTTATAATAGTAAATATAGATTCTTTTGAATTCCTTTCATCGGGCAATAGATTTTTTATGAGTTCTAGTCATGATAAACATATGCTGACTCCCCAGTAGAGTTTCAGTTCTGCAATATCCAATTACGTTAGTCTACCTAAGGAGGCTGTCCACACCTTTTTCTGTAAGTGCTGATTGACAATTATTGCCAATTGTATTGGTGCACAAATATAGATTGTATATAATATAGATATAAATATAGATATAAATTGGAGTCCTGTAGCTCAGTGGTTAGAGCACTCGCTTTGCAAGTGAGAGACCTGAGTTCAATTCCAGGCAGGGCGAAACCTTGGGCAAGTTTCCTTACTCCACACGCCTAATAATAATCCCTCCAAAACCAAAAACAATAATAAATTGGTCATTTTCAATCTACGACTGTTTGTGGGACATTGCTGTGCGCAATTGGCTGCCGCGTTCGCCCACAAGTATACAGTCAATTCACTTTACAGTGTGATCTATGAAGCGCTTTGGGACGTCCTCCCGACGTGAAAAGCGCTATATCAAATGCAAGGATTATTATTATTATTATTATAGATGTAATCAGCGGCATTCTAATAACAGTGAACAGAGATTATAATATTTAGAATTGTTGCGATGAGCTTCACTTTTCCATTTCTTTAAATGATGGATATTCTTTTCCCCATAGTCAGACAGGTATAACCATAAATATGTGTGCATGCTGCTCACTATATATAGTATATTTTTCTTGGATTATAGTGTGGGACACTTGACAATCATAACACAGATTCCCTGAGGTTCAGTTTAGTCTTTCTGTATGCAGATAACCACAGGAACTTGATAGTATATAAAGGAAATTGCAACTATGCATTCTGCACATTTTTTAATAAAGAAAATAAATTTTAAATGAACACTGTTGAATCAAGTTACCATAATTTAATGTCCAGTGCATTATGTATGGCTTTAAATGGTTCTGTTTTACTCTTCTTTAAAGGTGGATTAGGAGAACATAGAGTCTATAAGAAAGGAGCTGTTTATGAACTTATCGATAGGATACGAAGATTGGGAGCAGGTATTCATTGAAACAACAGCTTATTTGCATGCCTGATGATCTGTATTAATTGTCACAGTGGAAGCTGCTTTAACTGGACACCAGTTAATCCCGGATGCCGGATAAATCAGACAAACACTTGGCCCCAATTCATTTGTATTTGTACATGTTTTAAATATGACAGTTAATTCAGACAAGAATCTGGGTAATCCAGACAAGATGCCTCACTGATCACCACTGCATCTACTCACTCTGTGACTCGATCAACCTCGGGATGGTGATGGAAGGAGCCAAATTATGATTGATTGACAGCAGACTCCAGCCATTCACGGGAGGTTCTAGACTGTCAATTAGTGAGGGGCGGAAGAATGGGGACAAAAGAGGGAGGGAATGGGAGGAGTCAAATTGGGATTGATTGACGAGACTGGAGCCACTTGTGAACAGCCGGAGTGCCCAAGATTCACAAGTGGTTCCAGGCTGTCAGTCACCTCGGAGCAACTGCTAATTGGCCCCCTTCCTGTCCGATGGGAACGGCAATAGAGCTGCTGCTCCTCTGTTGGGTGAGAAGAGGTAGGGGAACGTTGGTTAGCCTCGGATGCCGCTTCAACAAAATAAAATGGCTGGCCCCGAGGTGTCTGGTTTAAGCAGGTTCCACTGTACTTTGAAACAAATGCAAATTGTAACTGGTGCATTTTTTTGGATCACTTTGTGTTCTTTAATCTTGCGCATTGAGCTGTACTTAGAATTATACTGTCTTAGAATCCAGACTGTGCCGTGTGGCAGAGAAATCACTGATTGTCGTGCAAGGACTTGGGACAAACATTTTGATTCAATTAGAGCTCGCATAACATTAATAATAATAATCCTTTAATTTGATATAGAGTCGTATCACGTTGTTGAGAAATCTCAAAGCACTTCACAGGATATACTGTAAAGTGGTGTGACTGTATTTATACAGACTATGTGTTTTGTAAGCAAATGTAGCAGTCAATTTGTTCACAGCAATGTCCCATGATCAAGTGAATGACAAATTGTATCTGGAAACTCCTCTTTTTGAATAGTGTCATCAGATCTTTAATGTCCATCTGAACAGGCAGACAGGACTTCACTTTAATGGTCCGTCCAGTGGCAGTTATCTGTGAAATGTTTTGAGACGTTTTACCATTACAGAAGTATAATGTAATAGTGTATAATGGTACAGGTGTATAATTGCTCCTTCCTACGTCTGCGAACTGCTGACCCCATATCAACCGATCCACTCCCTCCACTCAGCAGGCTGTGGCCTGTTCCACGTGCCCCGCTCAGCTCGTGTCCAAATCTCTAACCGTCCAGCGCCTTGGGACATCCGTCCGACATGAAAAGCACTATACAAATGTATTTTTGTATTGTATATCACATGTATAGATTATTATAATCAGTGATAATTAACACATCATAAATAATAATAATAATAAATTGGTCACCCAATCCACAACTGTCTATGGACACTGCTTTGCGCAATTGGCTGCTGCGTTTCGCCCACAAAATATAGTCAATTCACTTTACAGTTTATTCTGTGACGTGCTTTAAGACATATCAAAGACGTGATAATGTGTTATATCAAATGCAAGGATTCTTATTATTATTAATATCACATGGTGCATTTTTCCCTCCAAAGTGAAAAGTAATACTAGGAGGTTTTTGGCTTGGGGAAAATAAACATGTTGCACTGCTGTACTTTAATGAATTATATTTATTACGTTTCAATAATTCAACAACAACAACAACATATATATAGTGCTTTTCACTTTGGGAGGAAGTCCCAAGGTGCTGAAAGCATTCATCAGAATGCTAGAATATATTCAACAGACTTTTAAAAGTATTAATGAAAATCAAGAGAAAGTTATGTTTCATCTATGGGAATATTGCCTTTTTTTCAGTTGCAGATAGTGAGCTGAATAACACAGATAGAGAAATGAACTCAGAAGCCTTAAAACAGACAGAGAAGAAAAGAATTCCCCGAGCTGCAACTTCGCGAGCGGAGAGAATATGGCCTGGAGGTGTCATTCCATATGTTATTGGAGGGAATTTTACTGGTGAGATCAACTGTTATTTGCTGATACAAAAAGTCTGAACAATCAGTCTCTTGTGGGTTTTAACACACTTTGCACCTGTTGCCCAATTCCCTTTCCAGTTGTTTCCTCAGTGTTTTTTTCATATTTATACTGCTACTCGTTGTGTGCACACTATGGAAGATTAAGGGAGGGGGAGAAAATAATATAAATTTCAAAAATAGTGCCTGATGGTTCAGTGAGTAATGCACATGTGGTGTGGTACTCAACCAGAATGATCCTATGTGAGGCCCCTGGGGTTGAGGTTGTTGTATCAATTGGGCAGCAGTGGTATGTTACGCTTGGCCACAAGTATTTACAACTAGGGATGGCCAAGATCAAGATTGTTCCTCCCTCTTGATCACTGTCCAGACACCCATCAAGTTCAGTTGTGGTACCCCACCATCGCCAAATAGTTTACCGACCATCACTGTCTTGACTTGATGATGATGCCAGGGATGAGTGCAAAACTTTTAAACTGAAACGTTTCATTTTCCTCTGACTCCCACTGCGAGAAAATGCTGGACTTCCTCGAGTCCAAAATTGAGGGAATCCGCTCAGCTGCCACTGCCCTCCTAACTTCCAATCCCTCCCTACTCCCACCCCACACAATTACCCATCCGACAATTACACATCCCTCCTTCCCCACCTTTGAACCTGTCAACCCCTCCTCTGTCTTCAACACAGTAACCTCCATGAAGTCCACCACCTGCTTCCTTGACCCCATCCCTACCCCTTTCCTTAAATCCCAGCTCCGCCTCCTTGCCTCACTACTCGCCGACATCATGAACCTCTCCCTGTCATCTGGCGCTGTTCCTTCCCCCCTCAAAACAGCCACTAACATCCCCACCTTGAAAAAACCTTCCCTTGACCCATCTCAGCTATCCAGCTACCGGCCCATCTCAAATCTCCCCTTCCTATCCAAGGTCCTTGAGAGAGCTGTTGCCTCCCAGCTTCGCTCTTTCCTCTCCTCTCACTCCCTCCATGAACCCCTCCAATCGGGTTACCGTGCTGCCCACAGTACAGAAACTGCTCTGGTCAAGGTCACAAACGATATCCTGACCATGTGTGACCAGGGCTCCCTCTGCCTCCTCGTCCTCCTCGACCTCTCCGCTGCCTTTGACACTGTGGACCACTCAATCCTCCTTCACTGCCTCTCCTCCCACCTCAACCTTCAAGGTTCTGTCCTTGACTGGTTCAGGTCCTACCTTTCACACCGCCTCCACTTCTTCGCGGCAAACGGCTTCTCCTCCAGCCCCCACACTGTCTCGTGCAGTCTTCCTAGGGCTCTGTCAACAGTGCCCTCCTCTTCACCCTCTACATTCTCCCCCTTGGTGATGTCATCCTCAGACATGGGGTAAATTTCCACATGTATGCGGATGACACTCAACTTTACCTCTCTGCCTCCACCCTCAACTACAGGACTACTGGCGTCCTGACCGACTGCCTGTCCGACATCAAGTCCTGGACGAGGGCCAACATTCTCCAACTCAACGTCAGGAAGACCAAGGCCCTCCTGATTGGCTTGGCCAGCACCTCTGCACCTCAGGCGCTGGCAGCATCAGCCTCCATGGCTGCACACTCAACCTCACTAAGCCAGTCAGGAACCTGGGTATCTTGTTTGACCCTGGACTGTCCTTTCTCTTTCACATCCGCGCCATGACCGGCACTGCCTACCACCACCTCCGCAACATTGACAGACTCCGCTACTGCCTCACCCCTCAGGCTGCCGAAACCCTCACCCACACATTTGTCACCTCAAGGCTCGATTATGGGAACTCCCTCCTTATCGGCCTTCCCAACTCTTCCCTTCACAAGCTGCAGATCATCCAAAACTATGCAGCTCGTGTACTCTCACGCATCAGGCTCCCTGACCCCATCACTCCCACCCTTGCCCAACTCCACTGGTCCCCCATCCCCCAGAAGATCGAGTTCAAATCCTCGTCCTCACCTTTAAGGCCATCCATGGCCTATACCTCTCTGACCTGCTGACTCCCTACCAACCTTCCCTTTCCCTCCATTGATCGGGCTCTGGCCTGCTCCATGTCTCCCGCCTGACCCGCCCTACCATCAGTGGCCGAGCTTTCAGTCTCTCTGCCCCCACACTCTGGAACTCCATCCCACGGTCCCTTCGCCTCGCTTCCTCTCTTGCCTCCTTCAAGGCCGGTCTCAAGATCCTTCTCTTCGACCGTGCCTTTGGTCTCCCTCCCACCTCTCTGCCTTCCCTCACCCCTCCCCCATGCTCGGGCCCCGACACCTGATTGTTCAGCACTTTGGAACGTCCTCCCGACGTGAAAGGCGCTCTATAAATGTAATTTTATTATTGTTGTTGTTGAAGGTGGAAAAGCCAACCCTCAACTGTAAAACTGGTGTTTGAAATCATGATTTTTTTCAAGCCATTTTGGTTTTTTCAGTTACAAAATGTGAGTCATAAATAGTACAGTGGCTTTCAGCATGTAAATGACATATTTAGAAGCTAATATGGCCTCCTCGCAACCATTTACAGATGTTGGCAGTAGAATGGGTGGGGAGGAGTAACCTCTGCCTCCCTCCCCTGCTTATTCTACTGTATTGAATCTCATGGGCTTGTGGTAGCACTTTAGTTCTCCATATGTTTATGTGTAAACCATCCTTCCTGTGTGAGATTTTTCTTGCTGTGTATTATCCAACAAGTCAGTTCTCTCCTGTGACCTTGTTTATTAACCACATACAGCAATATCCTGAGCAATATTCTTCTCACTCTTTCCATGCCCCTAGATAAAACTCTCAGTCTGCATCAATGCAATTCTATCATTCCTTCAACTATTATCCAACAGCAGGCAAAAGAATGTAATTTTCACTTATATAGCACCTTTCATATCTTGATGGTGTCATAGTGTTTGAAAAGCAGATGGTAGCCAAAACTGACAGTGAAAGTTACATAAAGACAATTAATCTATGTTTAACTTGACAACCTGTCTGCTCACTGGACAGAGGGAAGGTTGAACAATAATACAAGCTAAGATAAGCGCTTTGAGACGTCTAGAAGATGTGAAAGCGCTATATCAAATGCAAGGATTATTATTATAAGGTGTTACAAATGGGCATCAAGACAGATTTAAACTTTAAAATATTGCTTGTGACGAGAAAATGAGATTTGAAACATTCTCAGAAATTCCACCTGTGTATAGATTTACTCTACGCAGCAACTTAGTGTCCAGAATCTGCTGAATTGTTGAATTCAGTCATAATTTGGAAGTTTTTTTTGCGATTCATAAAAAATAGACAGAAAACCGTCTTGAAAACAAAGGCTTCCCTGCTTTGTAAATGTCAACGTTTTCTGCTCCAGTGTGAAGTGCAGTGTGAGAGATGTCAAATAGCACATTCAGTTCTGAACAATGATTCCTCTACAAGCCTCTAAGCTCCAGCATATGATTTATACTTAAAACTCCCACAGTATTTGAAGGTACATTGGAGATATGGAATGAAAATAGCTATGCTTCATAAAGTGTTCAATATGATAATTATCACACTGCTACATTTTCGGTACATCTGAACAACTGATCTGATCAACTAGCAGAATATATGTAATATGTGGATATGTGGCTCTTATCATGTATGCAATTTGATGAGATCAAAACCTCCACGCGGAAATCAAGGCTTGACCAATTGAAGTGGCAAAACAAAAGGTAAATCTACCAGGTGCACAAAGAGTGGGGTCCATAAAACCATAGAAATTTACAGCACAGCAGAAGGCCATTCAGCTCTTCGATTCCAATTGGCAGGGCCTCCACTTCTGGAGTGCCCTTATTAACCTTCCTGGAACAAGCTGAATGTGTCAATAGGACAACCGATGGATCTTGAGCTGATGCTACCCGGTGTTTCAGTGCTCATTCAGAGTTGATATCTTGCAAGTTGAATTGAGCTGCAGTCTCTTTTTCCAGAATACCCCCCCATTTATTATTATTATTATTTGAATGCTTCATCCACTCACTGTCCTGTCCTATCCACCTGGGCATTCGAGTTCAGAGTTGTTAATTTGTGACTGACCGCCTTCTGGTCAGGCTTCATTGTTCTGGAGCTGTGGGACAGTACTCCATTATGAGGTGCTGACAGTCTTTGTGTAGGTTCCATTATAATTAACATTGGTACTTGTCACCTCCTTAGTTTTGGAGACAGGTGGGAAGGTAAGAGTTGATGTGCTAATTTTATTCCTGGATTCATTTGTTTCTTTTAATACTTTTGTTTGTGTCTCTGCTTTATAAAATGAAGTTTTTCCTTTTTTTATTCCTTTTTTTGCGCAAGTTGAAAGAATAGAGTAGCAGAAAAATTTAGCCCATTTTCAGTCAGGAAGAGTGAAAGAGGGACCAACCACACTGTTAATCCCTTTTGGTTGTGGTATTGGTGATAATATTCAAATACCCTCCTACCATGTGGTGCAGTTCTGTGGTTTCTATGGTAAGATAATGCATATTGGAACAGGAACAAGTGTAGAGAAGGAAGTGGTGCCCATTAACAGAGGTGGAGAAGGACAAGGTATGATGCCATATTATTCACTGAATGATTCCAGTCATTATGAAGCTGTCATAACAAATCTAATGGAATACAAGGTTAGGGCAGGTCCGTCAGGGTACAACATTGGCCTAACTTTGCACAGATTACTAATGGGGCAACATTTGAATGCTACATGCAATTTTGGGCATCCTAACTTCAAAAGAACACTATAACAGAATTACAATATACATTTAGAGCGCTTTTCATGTCATGTCAGGAGAACATCTCAAAGCACTGCTGGCTGGGCAACCGAGATGGGGATAAGAGCTGAAGATGGTGGGAATGGGACAAATGGCTAATAGCTCAGTCAAAGAGGTGGACTTTGTACTTAAGTTAACAAAAAAAGTGTTACGGAACACCGTAGACTTTACTTCTGTGATTGTTCAATTTTCATTCCATGATTTATCATGTTCATTTCAATTTTTCTTGGAGGCGGGTGTATTTCTGCTGCATTTCTCAACTAGTCTTCTGATTCCTCCAGGCAGTCAGCGAGCTATGTTCAAACAGGCCATGCGGCACTGGGAAAAGCACACGTGTGTTACATTCATCGAACGAACAGAAGAAGAAAGTTACATTGTCTTCACGTACCGGCCATGTGGGTAAGCGATAGCTGTTTCATCAGTGGTTTGAGCTTTTTAACAGGTTGGAGCAAATTTACATGATGTGCTAAGTGGTAGTAAAATTCATTACTCATTCAATCACGCGAGCCTGGAGCATTATCTCAGCTGTGTGGAAAAGGCCAAGAGTTACAAAGGTTTCTTTGTGGCAAATGGATCAACGCTGTTTAGCGAGCATCAATTAGCCATTCTTTTTGGGATTTTCTGAACTATAATCCCTTTGCTGCCATTTGTTTTATTCTGCAGAGTTGAAAGCAGGTTTTCTTTGGCAAGAAACTAATCCGCAAATACCTGTGCTACCACCATGACTCACTGTCAGCTATTTGTTGATCTTTGTCTGACACTGTTGATCAATAAGACAGTGTGAAATGGAATTAATCAGTGTTATAAATAGGCTTGAACTTAAACTCCTGTCTGCCACAATAAAGATTACATGGATCATGGCGGACCAGAGCACTTTAAAGGCTGCTATCTTGAGGTTAAATACATCTTGCTAAATAGGGCTCACCAAATTTTATATTGCAAAGGTTTGTTACATTCTTAAATTTACATCTTACAGAGGAAACTGAGAATTCCACTAGAACTAGCTTTTGGGTGACTTGATAGCAAGTTCAAAGAGACTCAAATCTCTGGTACCCCTGAGGTTGCTGATGTCAGGAAATGTCAATCTTTATGGGAAATGGGAACTTTAATAACAACACAAAAACAGAGATCGCTAGGAACAATCAACAGCATCTATGAAGAAAGAAAAGTAGATCAATGGTTCAGGTCCATGACCCTTCATCAGAACGTTGACCCACTTTCTCCATAGATGTTGCCTGACCTGCCGAGTGTTCCCAGGGATCTCTGTTTTTGTTTCAGATTTCCAGCATCTGCAGTATTTTGTATTTTATTAATGGGGTTATTAGTGTTCATCTGAACAAGCAAAACTTCACTGGATTTTACTGAAAGGGGCTAGTGACCGTGTATTTCTAGGCCCACAATGGCCACATGGGCAAGGAACCAGAAAGATGGCCTGCACGTGCGAAACTGCAACCCAGTGTGAGTCAGTGTGCCGTCAGCAGAGAAGTCAACAACAACAACAAAATTACATTTTTAGAGTGCCTTTCATGTCGAGAATAAAAAAACACTGAAAATTAAAACAAAACACTGTAGTTGCCATTGGTGACAAGTAAACCTAAATCACCCTGAGAATTCATATTTCTACCACCGGCTTTTTCAGTTACTCCCACTTAGTTGCCTTGGTTTAGATCAGATGTAAACACTAAGGCTGACTCTAACGTTTCAATTTTCAAGAGATGACTTGGCCATTGGAAACACACATGGGCTGTGCCTGCCCCTGCCTCTTTTAATAAGATTTAGTTCATGTCAGAGTTTTCCTCACATCAATATAACATAAAAAGATTTTGTTTTTTAAAAGTGATACTGATCAGGCGGCGTATTGTTAAGGGTTTAAATCACATGGTCAGCCTAACCCTAATAAAACATGTGACACATCGAACGGAGGTCCCATCTGCCCGTTCAGGTGGATGTTAAAGATCCCCTGGCATTATTTCAAGAGGGAAGGAAGTTTCTTCTAGTGTCCTGGCGAACAAATCCACAGATGAAATTGGTCATTTGTGGAACATTCCAGTGTGTAAATTAACTGCTGTGCTCGCCTGCAGAAATAGTCATTGCACTTTGAAATGAACCCTGTCCAAAAATGATGATCTGCAAATACAAATAATGAGTTTTCTATTTGGCAGGTGCTGCTCCTATGTGGGTAGACGTGGAAATGGTCCTCAAGCTATATCCATAGGCAAAAACTGTGACAAGTTTGGGATTGTGGTCCATGAATTAGGGCACGTGATTGGGTTTTGGCATGAACACACAAGACCAGACCGAGATGATCATGTAACTATCATTCGAGAAAACATCCAGCCTGGTAAGAATCTGCAAGAAAAGACCTTTTGTGTTTTTTTTAAAATGATTGTTACTCCTGCTGTAAACATGCCTCAAAAGAAATAATTCATATTTCTTCAGACGATAAGAATGCGTTTGTTTAAACTTCAGTTTTGCATTAACCGATTTCATTTTGGTCTGAACCCAATCTTTATCAGGTACCATTACTCCCATTATCTGCAAAGTGGGTAATTAAAATTGATGGATAATTAGGATTCCACAGCCCTTGCCCCTTGTATTCTCCCTGTTTAGGTGCAGTGCTACCACCTAGCGTTCCAAATGACTATCAGAGCTCAACGTAGCTGAAGAAATCAGAGAAACGATAAGTCCAAATAATCAACAAGATTACATTTGTATAGCGCCTTTCACATCGGGAGGAGGTCCCAATAATTTTAATAACTTAATAATAATGATAATTATTAGGTACCAAAATGCAGCATTGAGAATCAATCCTTTGTAACAATAATATTTATTGCACTTGATGTAGCACCTTTCACAGCAAGATAACTTCTCAAAGTGCTTCACAGGATGTACTGTGTTTAAACTACAATGGAAGCCCCATTTTCTGGGTAAAGGAAATTGATGGGTAATTGGGTGTTCTGGGCTCTATTTTTGTGGGTGATTTTTTGTAGTACAGGCAAAAGAGAGGTGAAGGGTTCATTCGGCGACAGAGGCCATGCTAACTAGCATGTTCAGTACATTATATGTAAGCTAAATCACATTGAATGCTAAAGGTATTCCCTCATGACCCCGATTAACCTACTTGTATTAATATTGGGTTTTGTGCAAATTGTGAACATACAATAAGTACCAATAAGGATTCCAGCAAAGCATGAATTTATCTTATACTCAGAAAATGAATATAAGCTCTCAGTTTTATAAAGATACGTTTCAATTCTGATAAGCAAACTAGTTTGCCAAAGCTTTTTGATACTTTGTATAAAGATTTCTACAAACTTCAGGTAACATCTGGTAAGCATTGCTGTGCGCAAAATTGGCTGTTGCATTTGCCCACGAAACATATACAATCAATGCACTTTGCAGTATATGCTGTGAAGCGCTTTGAGATATCCTCCTGATTTGAAAGACCCTATACCAAATGTACGGATTAGTATTATTTAACATTACTCAACTTGGAATCATTTGGTACCGACATCCATTTGAACCATTGCTTATCAATACTCCCGAAACAAATGGGAAGAGAAAACTTTTAATCAAAAATTTTCAACAAGATGTATTGGATTTTTAAAGTGTATTGCTATTTCCAGGTTCAATTTGTTACTGGATTGATCATGTTTAGTGTATTGAATTACAAGAACTGGATAATTGGAGAATTTTTTTACTTAAAGAAAGTTCCAGGTGGTTATATGCCCTGTTACAACAATTTGGAATTTATTTTTAAATACTTTCATTTCAATTAAAAAGGGGGAAATACTGCAATGTATACATAATCTCTAGCGAGAATCCTTCTCATGGCTTGGAACATGGGAATATGGTGCAATGTTCAATTTCAGTGTATATTTAACTGGATCCCTGAGGGAATGCTCCTTCAAAGTGTTATATTTGGATTAGGAATTCCATACAATTGGGACTGGCTGAGTATTGGTTTGGTGCATTCAAAATGTATGTCGGAAACTGAATTATACTTCCTTTGGGAATGTATTTCCTGAGAACGTTATGCTAGTCGTCAATCCGGATGTCATTGGGGAAAGGAAAGTGAGTACTGTCATTTACATTTTCGATATATACTATATGCAAATTTTGGAGCTCATGACAGTCTTTCCCTTTTAATTGTATACAGGCCAGGAGTACAACTTCCTCAAGATGGAACCTGGTGAAGTGAACTCCCTCGGGGAGTCATACGACTTTGACAGTATTATGCACTACGCTAGGAACACCTTCTCAAGGTTGGAGTCTAAGGTTATATCTCTTTGGCTTTTAAGTTCTATCAGATGGTAGAATACAATTAAGACGTTATCCCCTGGATTAGTGCGAACAACGAAGGTGTTGGGCTGCTCGGATGATTAGGGATCGTGAATGGTGAAATTGTTCATTATCCTCTCACTTGTTTTAAATCGCATTTCTAAAATTCCCATAAGTGAACAACAAACTAAAGGCAAATAGAAAGCAGATTAGTGGACTAGATTGACTGGTTGATTTTAAACTACTTTAGTCAATTAAATGAGAAAATAATAATAACACAAAGAAAGCTGTTATGCCTGGCTCCAAGTGACAGCCAAGCCAGCTACAATATGGATGCAATTCCAGGGTCAGATCTGAGTCGCAATGTGTAAAGTCGGTAATCTACACATGAAATCGGGAGGATAAGGGGTTGCAATTACAGATAAACCAATGCAAACACTTTTACACATTGTTGGTGTAAGATGCACATGTAAAGTTTTACAGCAAAAAAACTTGTTGACTGGTTCCAGAAAATAATTATGGATAAAATCATGACACGTTCCAATGCACTGTGGTATAGATATTACTGCTTCTTCTTCCTCAATTCATTCCCTTCAAAGTGTTCTCTCATTTTCTCCTCTTCTAAAATCGACAACTCAGGCTGTGTTTGAATCTAAGATCACCAGCAGACCTGTAATAGCTTGTAGTGGCTGCCTTTGTAGGTGGGAGTTATTGCAGGTTTGTTGATGCAGCAAAACCTCACACATCTACACATGGATCATTTCTACAGCAGGGGTCGTTGGGTAGCGCTTATGAGTGAGGCATCCTAGCTGAAGGTTTCTCCTCTCTGGTGAGCTGTCCCACACCTCCCATGGCTGAGATCAATAAACTGAGCACAGACCAGATATGGAAGCTGGGAACTTCCTGTCCTTTATAACGTAGTACTGCCACACACAACAAAAATAATTGCGTAGCGCCTTTCACATCGGGAGGATGTCCCAAGGCGTTGCAGAGAAACATCATGCTGACCCACTAGTGGATCCTCTCCTTGTTAGTTAAGGAATAATTGAATGGCAGAACGCTGCTGATATATTTTAATGGGGTAGCCCATTTTTTCTGCTCATTTTTCTCTAATTTATTTTTGATTTCCCCCCACCCCCACTGTAACATGCTGGCTCTCAGTGGGGTACAGATCACCAACCCGATCAACCTCACCTTAGTAGCCATGTGTGATCCTAGGCAGTGAATTTTGACAAATTATTGCACTACAAATAGCCTTCGGTTCTGTTTGGCGTAATGTTTACTGGATGGTGCTTGGATGATGGATGGTTACTCACTGGGGGAAGCCTGCTCCATTTATTTTATGGAGGTAGGTGCTTTGGACTAGACAGAAACTCAAATCATGGGACTGCACAATACTGGGAACTATAAGGGCAGTGCATCTCACTGGAGTTCAAAGAGCCTACACCTGCCAGTTATATTCCATGTCAGATATGACTTCTCCAGTCACACAGAGGAGGATGGCATCTGTGGAGCCTCCACAAGGATATTCTATAATGTCCTATACACTTACAGGATAAATAGAAATATTCTTTATTTATACTGAGGAATTTTCATTTTTTTGTGAAGGAAAAGGATATCTCTATAAATATGTTTATGTTCTGCTATATTTAGGGAGAATACAGTAAATAATAAATGACTTTTGTAGACTTTCTTTCCTATTTAAAAGGCAACTTTGTTCCACATTAAGCCTGTTTTTATGTTGTTTTTTACCCACCCAGAGGAATGTTTCTGGACACCATTCTGCCTGAACGTGACGAAAATGGTGTAAGACCTGCCATTGGCCAACGTACACGTTTAAGTAAAGGAGACATTGCACAGGCAAGGAAGCTGTATAGATGTCCAGGTATTATGCTGCATAAATACAGTAATGGAGTTTGTGTCATCATTTATTGTTATACAGTATATCATAGAAACAGAAATTGAGTGACTAACTGTTAAACAATACTCAGTAATACTGCAGTGGTATTATTGGGCATTAAAACCAGTGTGACAATAGCAACACCAACCAACATGGTTTCTGTGTGGAATGTACATCTCAAAGCCACTTGAGTTTCCTTCTGTGGTTTATGATTTCTCAGCTATTCAGCCATGAATACTATCAGATCCAAACTTGACTGACCCCACCCCCACCTCAACTAATGTTGACATGTACATTTCCAGCAAGTTCACGGGATAGTGATCAACTGCAGGAACTTTGGGTGGATTTTCTGCCCATCACCACTATTTTAGTCCAAGGTGGTTGTAGTGAATTATAATGACATTGCTAATACAGCTGTCTAAGATCAACTAATTTGTAGCTCGCAATGAGGTATGCAACCTTCCTGGACTGTATAATGTAGCACTAGATTAGACTGTATACAAAGCCAATGAGCTTTTGCAATTGAAGATTTTATAGATTTTTTTAAGATTATAATAATTTAATAATGATCTGGTCTCCTTTGTCTATTGCTCACCAAACAGTAGTTCTGTTTGTTGAAATTTCAGATATGTCAAACTACATGTATTATTTTGATGGATTTTAATCCTGCAGCATTTTATGAACTAATCAAACAACAATGTAGAAATAATGCAGAAAGTGGTTGGTTGTGAATGAGTAGCACATGGGACATGGCACAAGCAGCAGATGTTTCAGCAATTGTATTCTTTAGCCCTCAAAAAGTATCCATCTACAGCTGTTGAATTTTCCTGGTGACAGAACATAACACTGTTTAGTCAATGGTCAAGTAACTCAATCTCAGGGTGCTGACAGCATCATAAACCACAAGAAAGAAATTCAAGAACTTTCTTCCCCATGTGATACAATTACTCAGATCAACTTCTGCCTCATCAATTACATGATACCTATGTGTGCCATACAGTTATGTAAGTTGCATTGGATGAATTGTGGTTTGTGGCCTCTTGTTTAAGACAGTTGGAGATGAGTGATAGGATTTATTTCTTGTATGACAGATATGGAACCTCGTCATCATGGTTAAGCGTATCCAAACCAAATGATTAAGAGTTCCAAATATGTATGCAAATTTTCCTTTGGTTGAAATGGAGTGCACACTCTCTTCCGAAGGGATGTTCCCTGCTCATCTAATCCTGGAAAGGCATAGGCATAGGTTGGCAAGATCTAAGGTTTGGGACTGTGCAATGTGTGGAGTGAACAGCACATTATAGATATCGCCATATCATCATTGATACAGTCATGGTTTTTCTACTCTAATGAAAAGTAACATTAAGATTAAAGGAGACTAGCATTGAGATGAAAGCTCCAGTAAACCTAACAGATATAATCTGAACCACCAACAACAACAACAAGATTCCATTTATAAAGCGCCTTTCACGTCAGGAGGACGTCCCAAGGCGCTGCACAGTTGGGTCATGACCCGAGCAGGGGGGAATTGGTCAGGGTGAGGGGAGGGAAGGGAGGGAGCGAGGAGGGGGGAAATGGTCAGGGTGAGGGGAGGGAAGGGAGGGAGCAAGGAGGGGGGAAATGGTCAGGGTGAGGGGAGGGAAGGGAGGGAGCGAGGAGGGGGAGGAGAGTCGAGAGGGGAGCTGAAGGCACGGTCAAAGAGAAAAATTATTATTATACCAGATGTATAATAATAATTGCTATGATATATAGAAGAATTCCATAACTGTAAAAAGTACACTATAATGGGAGGGATATCTGTCAGATAACCCTATTTTCTATTACATGGTACACAGCCGTACAGAGATCAACAACAACAATTTATATATATGTGGCCCCATTCATATTGGGAGGACACCTTCACACAGCTGACCGGGAGTCCAAACTAAAACAGTCCAGACAGTGAAACTCTTACAAAGCAGTTTCCTTAGTGCTTCGGTGGTAAAGTTACTGCTTGTTGCGAAACTGAACAATGTATATTAAGGAAGTCCTAAGTTTGATTCGTCGGTAAGAGCTAAATTCACATCTATCAGTAGTTATTACATTTGATGTTACATTTGACACTGGGCTAGAAGAAAAAAATCTGCCATAGTTCCGACTGCTGATCCCACTGAAATATGTTCAAGTGTATATGTCATGTGAGGACAGGATCAGGTTTGGTTGCAATGATCCCTATGGATGAATAGCCTGCTTACGTTCGATATCTGGACACACATGAAGAATGGCCACTCAACCGTCTTGTGCTCAGTTTCCACGGAACCGTACCTTAAAAGGCGCTGTACAGATATAATTTTGTTGTTGTTAATTCAACACCTTAAAAAAATAACAAACCAGAAACCTCTTAAGAGTGAATTTATAAAGTATGGGCAACTGATCATATTTACAGTAGAAACAATGATATTTAGGAAGTGAACATCTAGAGATTGAAATGAACACACAAAATGTTTCAGCTGTGCTCTCAACAACAACAACAACTTGCATTTATATAGCAGCCTTCACATGGGGAGCATCTTGGAATGCTCTCAGAGTCCATCTAAAAGCCAAAGATAAGTTCTGACTTTGAAAGACACTGAAAGCCATCCATTTGCCAATGAAGTTAGCAGGGTTATTACTTATTATTTCATAAGAGTTCAAAACAACAACAACAAGATTCCATTTATTGAGCGCCTTTCACGTCGGGAGGACGTCCCAAGGCGCTGTACAGTTGGGTCAGGACCCGAGCAGGGGGGAAATGGTCAGGGTGAGGGGAGGGAAGGGAGGGAGCGAGGAGGGGGTAGAGAGTCGAGAGGGGAGCTGAAGGCACGGTCAAAGAGAAAGGTCTTGAGACCGGCCTTGAAGGAGGAAAGGGAGGAGGCGGCGAAGGCACTGGGGGATAGAGTTCCAGAGCCTAGTGGCTGAGAGGCTGAAGGCCCGGCCACCGATGATAGGCGGTTGGGGCGGGGGATGTGGAGCAGACCGGAGCCAGAGGAACGGAGGGTACGGGCAGGTAAGTAGGGGGATAGTAGGTCGGAGAGGTAGGAGGGAGCAAGGCCGTGAATGGCCTTGTAGGTGAGAGTGAGGATCTTGAATTCGATCCTCTGGGGGATGGGAGGCGAGCGAGGGTGGGAGTGATGTGGTCCCGAAGCCTGGTGCGGGACAGTACACGAGCTGCAGAGTTCTGAATGACCTGCAGCTTGTGGAGGGAGGTGGCGGGAAGGCCGGCGAGGAGAGAGTTCCCATAGTCCAGCCTTGAGGTGATAAAGGCGTGGACCAGAGTTTCAGCAGCGTGAGGGGTGAGGTAGTGCCGTAGTCTGGCGATATTCCGGAGGTGATGGAAGGCGGTGCCAGTTGTGGCGCGGATATGAGGGAGAAAGGACAGCTCAGGGTCGAACAGAACCCGAGGTTCCTGACTGGCTTTGAGAGGTGGAGAGTGCAGCCTTGGATGCTGATGCTGTCAGCGCCTGAGGTGCGGAGGCGCTGACGTGAGCCAATCAGGAGGGCCTCAGTTTTGCGCACGTTGAGCTGGAGAAAGTTATCTCTCGTCCAGGACTCGATGTCAGACAGGCAGACTGTCAGGACATCGGTAGTCGTGGAGTTGAGGGTAGAGGAGGAAAGGTAGAGTTGGGTGTCATCCGCATACATGTGGAAGTTAACCCCATGTCTGCGGATGATGTCACCAAGGGGGAGCATATAGAGGGTGAAGAGGAGGGGACCGAAGACAGAGCCCTGAGGGACACCGCACGAGACAGTGCGGGGCCTGGAGGAAAAGCCGTTTGTGGAGACAAAGTGGAGACGTTGGGAGAGGTACGACCTAAACCACTCAAGGATAGGGCCTTGAAGGTTGAGGTGGGAGGACAAGCGGTGGAGGAGGATAGCGTGGTCGACCGTATCGAATGCTGCCGATAGGTCGAGGAGGACGAGGAGGCAGAGGGAGCCCTGGTCAAAGATGGTCAGGATGTCATTGGTGACCTTGATCAGGGCAGTTTCTGTGCTATGGGCAGCACGGAAACCCAACTGAAGGGGTTCGAATAGTGAATGGTTGGAGAGGAAAGAGCGCAGCTGGGAGGCGACAACTCGTTCCAGGACCTTGGACAGGAAGGGGAGGTTGGAGATGGGCCGGTAGCTTGATAGCTGCGACGCATCAAGGGAGGGTTTTTTTAAGATGGGAGTGATGGTGGCAGTTTTTAAGGGAATGGGAATAGAGCCAGAGGAGAGGGACAGGTTGACGATGTCTGTGATATGTGGGGCAAGGAGGTGGAGCTGGGAGATAAGGAGTGGAGTGGGGATGGGGTCAAGGGAGCAGGTGGTGGGTTTAAGGGATAGGATGAGTTTGGTGACAGAGGGTGGGGAAACGGGTACGAAGGTGTGTAGGGGAGGATGCATAGGAGTCGGAGTGTGGGAGGGAAGTGGTGGGTAGTGGGTGGTTGTTGGATGGGAAGTGACCGCGGAGCGAATTCCCTTGATCTTGGATTCAAGGAAATCCAGCATCTCCTCGCAGTGAAGGTTGGAGGAGATGACCTGCGCGGGGTGGCGGGGGGATGGAGGAGTTGGGATGTGGTAGAGAACAGAAGTTGGGGTTGTCCTTCGCCTCCAGGTTTATCCTGGAGTAGAAGGACGATTTGGCCGAGGCTAGAGTGGAGTGGTAGATTTTGAGGAGTGTAGTGTAGAAGAAAACTTACTTTATCACGATAATTTATTTAGAAAACAAGGATGTTACCTTTGTCACAAACTTCTTGATGAACTGAAACAAAGCTGTGAATTATTGCAAGTTTTATAATTTAAATAAAAAGTTCAAATATTTTCCTTACCATTGCATCAACACGATATGGTTCAATATGAGCTCAATGTCATTGCTGGGAATAATGCAGCAGTGTGGCTGGCATTGACATTATCCAAAACAGTCACAAGATAGAACAAGTCGAGAATTGTGAAATTGCAGCAAAACCTTGAAAAGTTCTAATTGGTAG